CAGCTTTACTGTTACATCTCTACAGTTATCACCAACCTCCTGCTGCCTTTTTACCTCGTGCATTCCCCAAACCTGAGCAAAGCGGACACAAGAGCCTGCCTGCTCAGAAGGAGACTATTTTTATAACAACTCTACAGTGTCAAAAGTGAGCACGCACAACATCAAGCAGGGGAGAATCAGGTTCATCAGTTTTCCAGTCCCCTCAGATCAATTCTAAACTACCTTGACCACAACTGCATCCTCCTGCCCACTGAAAGAAAATAATTCTTCAACTCACCCATTCACCACTCCACCCTGTGTACAAAGAACTCACATGCTAGGGAGGAAAAAAAAACACTTAAAAAACACAACAAGGTACTCTGTCACTGGAAGATGGTAATGAGCAACTACTAAACAAATGAAGGCATCAGATCCACACATAGTATAGGCAAACTCTTTATTTTCCATACTTCCAACAACAGCGAGCTCCCTGGAAGCAGGAGTAGTGCGGAGCTGAACACAGTACTTGAGACAGGGACTCATGAGAGCAGAGTAGAGGGGGAGAATCACTTCCCTCGCCCTGCCGGTCACACTTCTTTTGATGCAGCCCAGGATACGGTTGGCTTTCTGGGCTGCAAGCACACACTGCCGGCTTATATTAAGCTCCTCAGCTAATAGCTGGTGGTCCAGGCCATTTAATGGGCAACAGGGGCAGTTTTCTAGGGCAACGTGACCTGTCTCACCTGCCTGACTCCCAGCCTATGACACATGGAAGGGAATACAGGTCTGCTTAGCTAGACCACATGCACGCAGAGCAATAAGGATGCTCATGAGCAGGCTGGGCTCAGGTCACGATGAGCCCCATATTAACAGAGAACTGCCCTTGTGCTCAGACACAAGGCTTAGCCAGCAATTACCAGATGAAATACAATCCCACATGGACACACCACTGCTTCCCCTCTGTGGACAGCAGAATGGGTCATAGGAAGAAAGACTCCTAAGCTGGTAGCAAAAAGTAAGTCATACTGGCATTAGCTGTGGAAGGAGGAGCAGAACATGAGGAAAAGGTGCCTTCAGGGCTCATGACACAACCAGAGGATACAGTATTTCAAAGATAAAACATCAGTTTTAAAGGCCAGATGCATTCCTTTGCTAAAAATACCCAAATAAATGCAAAAGAAATACTACCAAAACTATTGTACCATCCCAGATTTCAGAAAACTTAGCAGAACAAGCAGGAGTTGAATATCTCTGCCACTACTGATGTGAATAAGCCCTTACTTTCCTTAGACATGGAGTTTTAGGGGAAGGATGAAGCTCTCCTTAGCAGGCAAGTCTGATATCCAGAACCAAAGGCAGCAGACTAAGCATTAGGAAGAGGTGATGTGGTAAGAAATCACTCTGCTAGCACCTGAGAGCTGAAAATGACACTAAATCACGTACATTGCCAGTGAGATTGAGAAGGGAATGAACAGTTCAGAAAGCAGTGAAGAATAAAAGGGAAAATAAGAGAGGGGAAAAAAAGCACTTTGAGAGTACAATGTATTTAAAAAAAGGTACACGACCATACATGGCAGAAGCAAATAAACCAAGTGAGGTTACAAAAAGGGGAAATTAATATAAAGGAAAATAAACAGTTTTCAAATTCACATACATTACATTAGATGATATTCCAGCCCTGGCATGCCTGCACTTAATTGTTCATATGCATCCACTCGGGCTACCCAGGCAACCTCTGCCGTAAATCTCCAGTTGCACTGTGCCGCTCATGAATGCAGCTTTCATCCAGAGACAGCTTTTGATTAGAGTTACTAGAGCTTCACAAGCAGACATTGTGTCTTGGCCACCTATAGCCTGAAGAAGGCGAGAGAAAAGTCAAGGAAATTACTTACTTCAGGTAAGTATAAGATGCTGAATTTATCCCAAAAAGAGAAGAACTTGACCAAGTATGTGTCCTTGTTAACAGTCTCCAGACTGGGTCAAAGTACTCCTTGGTCTATTTTGGCCTTGTAATATGTCCCTTTTGGATTTCTTATACACTGGAGAGATTGGTCTGCAGCATTTAAAAAAATAATAACTGGTCTCTTGGCATTTATCTCTGAGAATTGTGGGGCACTTTCTTTTTGAGTTCTTGAAAAACACTTTGCTTCTTTCTAGAGCCCTTAAAGGGGTTATTATTACAAGACACAGTGTTACAACTTTATCTAATCTGTGGTTCTTGAGGAACGGAATGATCTACTTACAGTTTTAGATTCTTAAGAGTACATTCACCACAGAATAAATCCTGGACCATTTCAATAGCTAAAGGATACCTTATTTATAAAATGTTCTAAAAATGTATAGCTAGGAAGCAAAAAAACAGACTTATGGATAGCTTATTACAACCAGGTATTTAATCATGCCTTGTAAATCAACTATTGATGGAAAAACATCCACTACAAACTGGGAAATATTCATCAGTTTATTGTACACAACAGTAAATGTATGTGTTACTTTAACTTGTGTAAAACCATTAATCACAGCAGAGTCAAGCTATTAAAGCAAAAAAAAAGTCAACATCTAGATTTCTCCAAAAAGCCAAATACTATGGATACTGTTGACTGATTAAAATAATATGTGTTATTTGAGAAGGTTCCTTAAAAGAAAATAATTCTTTTCCTGTGAGGGTGGTGAGGCAGTGGCCCAGGTTGCCCAGAGAAGCTGTGGATGCCCCATCCCTGGAGGGGTTCAAGGCCAGGCTGGATGAGGCTTTGAGCAACCTGGGCTAGTGGGAGGTGTCCCTGCCCATGGCAGCAGGGTGGAACTAGATGATCTCTTCCAACCCAAACCATTCTATGAAAAATATTTCTGTTGCCCTTAATCCCTAATACCCATCTTTAAATGTTTTCACCACCAAATTGCCAGTACTTCAGGAAATTGCTACTGGGAAAAAGGCTGTCATAAACACACCACTTGGGGGGAGGGCAGGGAAAACTATCTATCTGTTACAGTGACATTCTCCCAAGTAACAAGTCCCACTCTTTCATGACACCTGTAAAGTAGCAAGAGAATTATTTGGTTCTAACACAACATGGGGACAATGCCATGAGACAGCACTGCCATGCAACATGGTAATACAAACTATGTAACTACAGTCATCTCTTCATATGCCAAGAGAGATGCTGTTGCTAATTTTACTTCCTATTCATTTACTATTTCTGTCCTAAATAAATGAATCCACTCCTTGAAGCTCAGCGACAAACCTTCAAGTCCTCCACTGTCACGATGAGTTGGCATGAGCTCTAATATAAACACAGCAATGAGTTTTCCTGAGTATATTCAAGTTCATCCCTTCTTGCCCTCATTCAGAGTCCCCAAAGCAGCTTCATTCACTCCATAGCTGTAATACCATACCTTAAAGAAAAACATGCTGCCCATATAATCCCTGCTCAAAGGTTCCCTTCACGCTTTGTGCCCTTGATAATGTGGCAGCTGCTTGCGATCTCTGGAACAAGGACCGACCACCAAGCTGCCAGCAACAGAACACTGATTTAACTCATGTTGCGATTTTACCAATTCTGCCTTGCCACTAAGCTTTAATAATCAGCCCTAATAAGCCTAAAATGTTAATCTACCAGAAAGCACCTAGTTTTAACCTATCAATATTATTGACATTGTAAGATCACCTAGAAATCACACCATAAAGTGGCTTCCATTGTTCCAGACATCTTAATTTGTAGAGTAAGCAAATAACAATAACTGAACCACTGTCCAAAAGGGGTTGAAATCTTGAAAACAAACCAAAACAAACCCAACACACCAAAGCTGATATAATTTAAGGAAAATTGTGACGTTCCACCCTTCATTCACCTGAGGAAAGTGGGATAGTGTATATCAGGAGGAGGATACTTTCTCCTAAGGTGTTTCCAGGATGTTTTGGAGAACTGCCACAATCCCATTAGCAGTTTTTCATATTATAGATGCACATGCAAACACACAGGCCCAAGAAGTAAAGGTTCTGGTCAACAAAGCGGCAGTATACAAATTGCAAGAATCCCAGACTTTCTTTCACAACACTCAAAAGTCTTTTATCAGCTTTTTACCTTTCATCTCTCTTTTCACACGCTACTCCCTGCAGCAATGCAGTATTTCCCATCAGTCAATCAAAAATCAAGAAACTTGAACAAACAGTGCCCCAGACACTGATTGACAGGAAGCACCACATCCAGCAGAATCCATCCAGCACAGCACACTGGTAGGACAGACGAGGAGACACACAGCTGGTGATTAAGACATGGAGATAAGGAAATCCACCCTGCCTACAGCAATACCTATCTTATGTTAGAAAAAAAACCAAACAGATCTAGGCATCATGGAGTGGCAGAGGTGATGGACTGGACCTGAATACCCCCTTTATACAGGAAAAAATAGATTAACCCATTCCTCCTCTCACACAAAAAACCCTTAAGTGAAGAAAGGACAGAAAGTACACTGCATGAAAAAATGCTTCCTGGCAGCATCTAAACTTGAATTGCTTTTGGGAATGACACCTCGGCTAGGAAAATTACAAAATAAAAACTGTACACTTACATTCTAGTCAAATATACAGAATGACCAGTTCATATCATCACTGCCAGTCTGGTACATGTTGTCACCAAAGACATTTGATTTTGATCTCAGAATATTTATGGTAGCCTTGAGAACGTAGGAAGTTCTTTAAAACAAATATCATACGGGTACATGTTGTCACCAGACATTTGATTTTGATCTTAGAATATTTATGGTAGCCTTGAGAATGTAGGAAGTTCTTTAAAACAAATATCATACAAAATTTGGATCAGCAACAAAAAATGAAAACATTTTGAAAGAATGACAAAGCACAGGGGAAAAGAACTATTGTGCAGCCAATAGGTTCAAAACTGAACACCCACTCATAGCTGGCAACGTTTAAGTCATAGAGAACAAAAATGCCTGCCCAGAAACGACACGTGAACTAAAGGCCGAAATGGGAGTCACAGGGAGAAAAAGAGAAAAATGCTTACCTATGAATAGAAAAAGAAGCAATGGATCTAATGAGGGATGCCACTGCTCCAACTTTAGCGGCTTCCACTGCTCCCTGTGATCTGTATTGCACAGTTTTGCCATAACTGATGAAAGGTTCGTTGTAGACAATAATCTTCCCCTTGGCCTCCTGAGCTCTTCTGTGCAGTTCATCAAAAGAGGCCACCACTATGACTTCTGCTGTAATTCCTGAAAGAAAGCATTACAGTGGCTTTAAAACTGCTTTCCTACAACTCTCCCACAGCCAGTTTTAACAGACAGAAAAGCATAGACTGTGCAGAACACAAGAAATCAGATTTAACTTCTTACTGGAAAAGGAAGATGATGTGAAATACTTCATCAGGGATGGGTACTAATTAGCTGTAAGAGCACCGTGAACCAAGCACACACAGTTCTGTAAACCATGCTGTCAGGTTGGGATTGAAACATAACTTGAAGGGAAAGAAGCATACACAGGGCGAATTCTGTTCTCTTCATGTAATGCCTCACTGCAATCATTTATAGTACAAAAACATTTGCAAAAGCTGCCTATGGGATTAATAAAAAAAAGATAGTAATCTTTTCATGGAATTGTTTTGATATGTTGCTAAACAACTTTGCTTAACATAAGACAACTGGAAGCACATCTTTTTAGACTGAAATACTTATTTATTTAAATTATTTAATGCATAAATTAAACTACAGCTCTGCAGTTTCAACAAATTTTGCAGTATGCTTAAAAACACAACAAAAAAAATCTTCAGATTTACTTCCCACAGTCCTACAGGATCTCCTTCTGGGAGTTTTCCCAGGAATCCATCTTTCCCAGTTATGACACAGAGAACACAAGCAGAACAATTCACACATGGTAAGTTAAATCCTACCGGGCTCTGTTTTTAATAGTTGGAATAGTCTTAGATTGCTATATTATCTTGCTTGAAAAAAACCCAAACAATTTTATAGATAAGTAGTTTTTCCCAAAGCCAGAGAATCCTTCTAACTTTTTAGAACATTAATTGAGGAACTACATTTCGCAGCATTTAAGAAGTAGTTCATTAAAATGACCACTATGCCTGAAATCCAGTGTTGCTGATTGGTTACAGAGATAAGCAGAAACTGCTCAACAACATCAGCTGGTACCTTCTTCTAAATATAAAAGCAGCAATGAATGCCTGAAATTTTAGTGTTGTATATTTCACCTAAAAGCCACAAAATACATCAGTGAAAACTAAAACTAGTAAGAAATGTCTAGCAAGGATTTGTTGAAGAAGTCAATCTATCATGTTTTTAAGAAGAAAATATTTATCCTTGAAAGTCCTCTTTTTTTTTTTTTTGGTATAAAAATTATCTGGACAAGGAGACTGTAATAAATTAGAACTGAGAAAAAAAATAGGCAGATCATGTCTTCCAGCACCAGTGTATCCAGGCTCATGGCTTCTTTAAGATCAAACTATAGTACACTTCAAAACCTTCAAGAAACCATTTCAAACAAAAAAAGTTTGGTTTCTTAAGAGTGCACTGCTAAGAGGGCAAGCGAGTGCTGCTACAGCACAAGCTGGTGAGTGTTAGCTACAGGATTAACCTAGTGTGAGAAGTGTAAAAATGTTAACTGAGTAACTATTCAGATCCTTAGCTTCACAGAAAGAGGCACAGAGAGCCAAAGCACAGAATCACCTTCAAATTTTACTGGTTGTTGGCAGGCAGGCGAGCAAGCTAGCAGACTCCAGTTGCTTCTAATGAACCACGCATTCGGCTGCCTACCTAAGGAGCATCCCTGCAACAGGATCATTCCGGGTACGGAACCGTGCCACTGGAAATTAGGCCAGATATTGACAAAATTTCATTTTCCACAAGAAAAGTCATGGTCTCAGTAGGTTGATACTGCAATCTGTATTTCATATGAGCTCTCCCAGTGCTCCACTTGGCTCATGCAGCAGGCACTGGAAGGGCACACGCTGTGGAAGTGCCTGTTTGTCAAGGGAAGCGAGGACTGTAACTCTCCTTGGCGCTACTTTACTGCATTAGTGAACAAACACCAACTCTGGATGATTTTTAAAGAATGCAACAGAAGACTAGCAACTATCTATAATCCTTAAGAGAAGTACATGGAGAAGTACGTTTATGGTCCCACCCAGACGACAGGCATCAGGAGTTCGTACAGTGAGCTTGATGGGATTAAAGCTAAGGAAAAGAATGCAGAGCTCCAAACTCCAGCCAAGTATCTCTACTTTTGAATGTTCCCAAAGAAGCTAAATTAAAAATGTCAAAGGTTCTCTCTGCAAGTTTAATTTAATGGCAGCATGGTATACATAAAGCACTAATCGCAGTGCTTCCTGTAACAAAATAAAATGTCACTGTTATGGAACTTCTGACTAATTCAATGTCTCCTTTGCATCTTAGTCTCATTTTATACCATTTCAGTCTCATCTTCTGAAGTGACAAGAGCAATGTAATCTTAAATAAGTATGTGGACACACATACACAAACCACCCTAAGACTTCCCGTGCAAAGGAAGAAATTAAACAAAAACATCAGTGTTGTCAGTTTAAGGGGAATGATTCCTTTTCAAAATGGGAAATTCCTCATCTTACTGAGCCTTTCAGCAAATTAACTGACCTCTAACCCTAGCATCTCCTGCCAAGTCAGTGCCTCATGGCTCTGCTTCCCATGTTGAAGGCTGTTCTCTCACTTTCTCACTCCTGTCCTTATCTGATCCAGAGCTTGGCTGTGCATTATTGAACAGAAGTCTTCAGAAAACCCACGTAAGAAGGGAGCTGGGTTGCCTGCTTACTTAAGCAAGATATAAAGATTATAATCCACGTAGTCCAAGAGATGAATACAGAGCATCTGGGGAATTAGCTAAGTAAAGGGCATGAAGCATAGAAAACAGAATGACGAACATGATAAACTTGGCTGAGTATGTGAAGCTGAAGACTATTTGTTCTCACCATGTGAAACATTAGCCATATTGTCGTATTGGGCCAGTGAGAAAAATAATCTTTGTAGTACTCTGGGTTTCCTCTCATTTCTCATATTAAATATAGTAAATTGTACCCTGTCATTTCTGAGAACTAAGGTATAAGAAGGGTGTTCATGGTGGGAATAAGCAGGCAACTTTCAAATACCAGCAAAATTACATACTACAAAGTCCTCTGTACACAGAAACGTATGTTTCTATCTAAGCACTTGGATATGCCACAACTTTGATGATCACACTGCCAGCTGAAATAAATGGCACGGTATGCATCAGTAAAGTCTAAAACCTGTCATAGGCAGGATGAATGCAAGACTGACTACAGTTACTCTTTATTAGCTACACAAAGTCCAATTTTACATATATATATGAAAGCACCTGTAAATCAGCTGTCTGCAACATTGCCATATATCAGAAGTCTTACTCTTGGCATGAATAATTCTTTCTGGAGAGTCACCTCCTAGCACCTGCTTGCCTGCCAGCAGTTGTGCCAGAAGTAAGGTTAGTTCAAAGGGAACTCTCCACAACATAACTTATTCTCCCCAAGATTAAATGCAGCAAACATTCAAGCTGTTTTAGTATCTGGAGCTATGCACCTGTCTGTGTTAGAAACAGGTTTCAGAGAAGAGTAAGGGGAAAAAAGGAAAATCCACCCTTTTATCAGATTTTAAAAACTGACGAACCTGTTAAAACATCAAGGAAACTTCATACAGAATATTGTTGCTGGGGGCAAGACATGGCAAGACTTTACCATATCGAGTACCAGGAATTCCTGACATTTAATAACCCAGTTTCTATTGGTTTTTTTATTACTATCCTAATAACACTCAGCTCAAACACACAGACATTCAACCTAGTTAGTTACAATAAAATGCTGTATTTAAAGAGGAATTTAGCAAAGCCAGAAAAAAATATCTTCTGTACACTGTTTACCTTACAGGATACTAATTTCCTGATTACTCAGTTACAGCCTTACTCTCTTCTTTTTTTCCCCCAGTTTCACTTTTGTGATCCAGTTAACAGCAACAGTCCCTTGCAGATCTAGTTACAAAATCAAATGCAGCCATCATTAATTTGACAATAATTTTTTTCAATAACAAGTGAATAACTCACCCATACATACCTTCCAAACTTAATTTACTTCACCCTGTGTTAAAATAAGAATTATGATTTCTCTTACAGACCACACTATGGAACAGAGATGCTGCTGATCCACATGCACTGAAGTTGCCACTGTCAAATAATAATCTGATGGGCAAAGCATTTTTTGCTTAAAACAATCAAAATATGGTATTTTTAGGTCTAGACACAACAAAGCTGTAAACTACATCAACTACGTCTCTGTTAAACTTTCCTGTGTGTTATATGTTTAAAATTTTTGTGTCCTAAGCATAAAATACTGCCTGAAATATCAACACAAAAAGTCAACAACACGTCTAACTATTCCGGTACTGGTGGAGACTTTGAAACTGGGAAAGAATGTATCTGAAATACCTCCTGGCCTCTGCAGTCATGAAAGCAAGCAGGAGACAGAGTGCTATCTCCCCATTCACCGGAACCAGGCATCAGGACACCAGGACCAGGGAATCATGGTAGGAAGAAGACAAAGACAGAGTAGGAGTAGGAGCAGCAACACACCATGAGAGCACTGCACAACACCTACCTGATAATTGCAGCCCTGCCTCGCAGACAAGCTGCATCAGACCATGTTGATTCCCTCATTTCTTGTCTACTGGATGGCTGACACCTCAGATTTCTCCATTTCCACCTCAGCTCTCCCAGAAAGCTAATTTAGCCTGGAAGCTGCCACATCAAGGTATACTGTACTCCATGCTGACCCTAAGCACATGCAGGTGGCAGCCCCAACCTTTTCTGACCCTAGCCTCACTACTCCAGTTGTCCTTCAGACTTGATCATCTCCCCAGAATAAAAGCACCACACCTCTACTTCTTTCAGAAATGACCCACATGCACTGCCTTGTGCCTATCCACAAGGTAGCTTCTTTCACAGCATTACAGAGAACCTAGAATTTTTTTTGCATGGGTCACAGGAAAGAGCTGCACATACAAAGCTATCACACAGCAGCGGGGATGTGCAGTTATCCTGTAAAAATGGTAGTCTCGGACCCTGGATGCCACATTACCCGGCAAAGAACCAGACTGTGTGCCAGGATCAATACTTCTGGATGAGGATGTGAAAAAATGAACAATGCAACAGTGAAAAAGTAGATATATAC